TGTCAGAGAATAGTGAGAAATCCCTGTCATAATGTCTCAGAGCCCACAATAACACCTTCATATTGTTTGTTTTGTCCAACAAACAGTCCAAAACCCAAAGATATTAACATATATAATATAAAAAATAAGATTTGCTGATTAATTTGTTTCTCCACAGATCAATCTTACTATTATCTTCTTGCTCAAAACTGATTCAAGAGATAGCAAAAGAATATTATCTAGATAGGTTTTACTTCAAAACGTGGTCACTCTTGCTCATATCTCCTTTAACAGTGGGTGCATAGACTGTAATGTTGTCAAGAATTTGACCTTATTCCACTGTCAGACTGAACTAGACACTGTCTACATGCCCAGCAATGAGCACATCATCCCGAGCTTCCCTCCTGTTTCAGTCTTCTTTTCCCCATCTCTTGATCTCTTCACCCAATCTTCCTCTCTTCTCCTGATTCCCTTGTCATAGACTCCAGCTCTCTGCACTCAAGTGAGTTCCATTGGTTTACCTAATTGATTATTAAGTTGCTGATTGGGGATCAATTAAATAATTAAAGTTTGTTAAAGGCAGAGTCGATATACTGGCAGGAGAGCAGGAGCATACTCTCCTCTACTCCTTATGTCTCTGTGCAGGTCTCTCTGTGTGTGTGTGCGTGTGTGTGTGTGTGTGTATGATTTCAATTACGCTGGTTGATAGAAATCATGCTATTGAGCTGAAGACAGATAATGTGTTTCATTTTAATTGTGGATTTTGCTGCCACGAAAGCGTTGACAGCAGCAGTGGAATTCTCAGTAGCCTACTGAAGCCTGGAGGACAGATGGGGCTTGACTTTTAGTGAGCAGCGTTTTGGGTTTCCTATCTTGCAAGACAATATTCTTGTGGCCAGATAGCATGGTTATTCCTCTAATTTCAGACTTGAATCCAGCTTTAGGTTTCGGCGGAAGTTGAAAGCCTTGATGCCAGTTGCAGTGTCACCAGCAGCTCCTTTAAGTGACCAATGTCAGCGCGTGTTTTGAGGAATTGCTACGAGATTTAAGTTGAGCAACTCTGGGGGTCAACATGTCGATGAACCCAGTGAATCCTTTGGTGGCCAGGAGCTGAGACGGGGGCGATGACGGGGCTCCTCTTGTGGCGGCAAATAGAGCCCTGAAAGCGAAAACACAAAGACACACACATACACAGCATTACACTCTCTCCCTCTCCCTCTCTCTCTCTCACGCACAAACCTCATATATGAGACACAGGAGCGGAAACGGGTCGAATCCTACTTCAAATTCTCTTTCCTCTCGGCTTGTCGACTGGGGAAAACAAACCGACCCGAGGCACAGCGAATGGGGATTTACTAATTAACCACTTACACACACACAGGCGCGCGCACATACACACACAGGGAGAGAGAGAGAGAGCGAGAGAGAGATGCACACCTCTTCTCCTTCCTCCTCCTCATCCCTCCCTCCCTCTGCTCTCCTCCTCGGGTTCAGGTTGATAGTAGTGCTGCCTCTCCGGTCGCTGGCTCGCTGCACCGTCAGAGTGAATGCGTGTGGATAGACCGGTCGCCCTTCAGCCGGCGAGAGCTTTAACACCACTTCCTGAAAGTAAAGCTAGAGGTATGAAGGCAGTCTTCTGTTATATTTTATTAAATGTAATATTTAGATTTCTTTAAATTTGGTAGTGGAAATATTTATATTTCTCGACAACAAAAAGTTGTGATTCTGCCCCTCAGTGAGTGTGTTTGTTTACAAATATGTCATGATAGATCAGTGCTGGTAATATTATTGTTTGTTATT